TAGTTCAGCCTTTGTCGAGCCTATGGTTCTTTATAGTAGGTATCTTCACAGCGCTGCCTTTGGGGAGCGTTCCTTAGATGGGAAAAGCTCTGGGTGTCAGTGCTTGCCTGTGCCAGCTGCTTGACTACATGTGAATGTTCAGTTTGGCTAATGTAAATCAGAAATAAAAACCCAAGGTCTCATGAGATTCACTGTGACCAACGGATGGAGAGTAGACAGGGCCAGCACACCTGCTCCTCCAGTGCTGTGTAGAAGCAATCTTTATCCTTCATTACTGACAGAAGACTTATGTTTTTGAAACTTCTTTTGTAGACTTTTTAATATCAGTGCAGATACAGATGTAACAGGAATTTTGTTTCTTCTTTTCTGTGTGTCATCAGCATTTGAAGTAGCAGAAGAAGAAAATTCTGGCATAATTCAAGGAAATATTCAGATGCAGTACATACTCTTTATTCAGCAGCACCTTTAAGTGATCCCTTAAGGTGCTGCACTCTACTGTGTTACTAACAACCTCTTTTAAGTCTGCGTCTCCATTACTTTCTGACATGTGTATGTGATACAATGGAAGGAACAGGAATTGGTTTTGATACAGTACTTGCTGTACCCAAGTCAGTCTTGATTTCTTGGTGCTTCTGCTGCTCTACGTCAGAGTTGTTGTGTCTCATGTCCAAGCTCCTTGATGATTTTCTTCATTTGTTCACAGGTAAAATGCAGGGTCTTCTGATAGTGTAGGCATGCATACTGCCAGCTTACATATAACTCAGTGCTCCCCTTTGGGTCCTCTTCCACCCCTGGATCAGTAGCCTACTGTAATCTTAGTCACCACTTCAAGCTAAAACCTTCTGCGGGATTCAAAACTAGATCAATCTATCAAAGAAACAAGGTGGAACACCTTGGCATGCTTTGGTCAGTCTCCTCAGATGAGGACAATTCCTAGAAATAATACACTTTTACAACCTGCTGAAATATTTGGAGTACATGGCAAATGCTACTTTATAGCCAAAGCTGTGAAGTTCTTGCACAGATATGATTCTCTTGTTGAAAAACCCACACCACCAGAAGCCTTTCACTGAACAGCTTGGTGTTGGTATTCCAAGGGAAATGTAGGCAATAGCAGAAGATCTTGCACATACAGATGCTAGCTTATCGTCGTTTTTGGATCAACTGTACAGATACTTTGTTAGTATTCTCAAAACTGCATGCCATGCGCTTCTTCACATTTACTCCAGCCTTCTGTCTTGTTTCACCATCTGTGTGGATCACCTTATTCAGATTTTCTAAGCATGGGGATGTTAATAAAGGACACAGGCTTAGCTAGTGTTTGTTTAGGATATTCAGTACAGTTTCATATTTTGGCTTAATTCTACATTATGATTTTGTTAGAGATTGGGTCCTTGTATGTTGCCAGTTTAACTAATTTCCATGTGGTACAGTATCAGATGGTTCACAGAAATGGAGGTAGATTTGATTTTCATTACCCTTCTCCCTTACTTTATTCTGACTCTTATCTTCATCAAGTACTGAACCTACTACTGCTTTTTGTTGATAGCCAGTAAAAAGTATTTTGTTAATTTAAATTACCTTTCTAGCGTGCAGCCCAGTTTATTCCAGCCTTTGACTTCTACAGCATACCTTCCTTCCCTGCAAGTTTTTTTCTCTTACTACTTGTTTGGATGTCTATTTTAATACGTATTTTCTGTCACATAGATATGCTTGGAGCCATGGCCTGAAAGTTCCCCCACATCTGTGCAAAATGTTCCAGATAGTTTTGTACCTTTATTTTCAAGAAGTTACAGTCCTCCTCTATTCTCAAGACCTCTGCCACTTGACTTCTATCTTTTCATAATGAAGCCAAATTTAAAAATAAATTAAATTTTCAAGTAAATGTTACTAGAGCTGCAAGCTTGCTGTTCTTAAAAACGCCAAAACTCTCTTTCTCTAGCTCATTTTTTTCTCCACCTTTAAGAGACTTGTATGTAACAAATGAAAAATTTAAACCGCTGGAAACTAGTCCTTCTTGCCTTGAAGGCTGCTAAAATTATCACAATTATTCAAGCAGCCTTAACTGTTGACAGAAGTTTTTGTTTGTTTTATATAGCTACTGTATTTCATTTAGAAACTACTAAAAATATAATCATCTTAGAGACCATCTGCTTGAAATGACAGTGCATACTGGGGCTAAAATTTTAAACTTCTTTTCCTGCTTTATTCATTATCTCTCCTAAAATCGGTTACATGACAAACTCAGTATTCAGTGCTAAGGGTTTCTTTTCTGAATTAATTTTCTACTTACACCCAATGTGCACACAACCATGTCCAACAAGTATTCATGCATCATTTATTTGCTAACTTTTCTTTTGGGAGATCAGAGGGGAAAAGTGGGCACAGCCTTGTTTTCATACATAAATATCATGTCAAGACTGCGGGTTCATCAGAACAATTAACTATACCTTTTAATAAGTGGACCTTTTCCTTTTGCCCCCTCATTGCCAATTCTGGCCTGGATCCCAGAACAAAAGGAAGAAGAAACTGAGCTGGTTGTCAAAGCCTATGGTGTACTACTGCACATAACAGGCTTTTTGTTTTGGCTGTTTTCTGTTCAAGTAATACATGTATTATAAAGGAGGAAATTTCCTTTGGGAGAGAATTTGGTGATAGAAGTCCCCACATTTTGAAGTATGATTATTTGGTAACTACACTTCAAATATATATTTGTAAAGCAACAACCTTTTAATGTCCCTCCTCGTGGTCTTGTCATACAGCCTGTTTTCTTCTGGTATTTTGTATCCTCTCCAAAATACCAACACCTGCACTTTGGCATCTAGGATTGAAAATGAGAATATATTCACTAAGGTTACTGGTTTGGGGGTTTCCATTGCTTATTTTTATTTGTTAAAAGTCTGGAAGATGTCTTCAGTTGGCTGAGAGCCATGTATATAGGAGGCAGATCGAATATGCTTGAAGAACCTGTTAGCAACGTTAACATGGTTAACGGTAAGAAAGCAAATACAAGAGGAAGTACAACAGGTCAAATACCATTGTTTCTGTCACCTCTGTCAATTTATGATTTGTTTATGGGTCTGAACTACCCATTCTTAAACAGAAGTAAGTGCTTAACCAAAGAACCACTTCCTTTTCACCTGGTAACAGAGTCACAATAAGTTGGTAGCACAGAAAATGTGGTGCTTGCCATATTTGGCTGTCGAAGTTTGTAGTCTTCCTTTATTCCTTCTACAGTGTTGTCTGACTTTTTCAAAATATCAATTCTGTCTGAACATATGCTACATCTTTTGTAGAAACTTCTCAACAGTTTGTATAATCTAAAGATACATTGGAATAGTCCATATGTGATTTATTACTATATCTTTATGGTTTCTTTGTATTAAACACTTAATGTGAAATTTAATATTCATGACTTAACATCTGTTTTGTCAGAAGAGAAATAGATGATGAATGTCTGAGTGTAATTTTTTTTTTTACATCTTCTATTTATATTCTGGATCTTCATAAAGATACAACTGTAACAACAACTCTCAATCTGGCAAACATCCCATGTGAGAACAGAACAGACAATAACCCTGGTCTGTAGTAATTCATTATTATTGCAAAAGGAGTCTTTTTTCAATGAAGTGTCTTGGAGAACTGTTGTACTTAAAGTGTGAGATGCCTGATTCTACTTGAAGTAGACTGCAGAGCTGCTGTGAATTCCTCCAGTGACGTACAGTTGGCCTCAGTGCAGCAGAACCCCTGTAATTTGGGAAGGAAACTAATGATCAGGAATATTTCTTTAAATGTTACAGAGGGACTCTGCTTATGAGGTTTTTTGGCAATGAGCTCCCTGGTGATCATAGTAAGGGCAACAGAGAACCTACGAACTTTTTTACAAGTTGCTTCTTTCCCCTAATTTCCCTCTATTACCTTGTAAGTGGAAGACAGTGAACATTAATGAAGACATTAAATGGAGGACAGTGAAAATATTTATACGACACAAAAAAATAGGTTTTAGGGAAAAGGCATGTGAGAATTAAGTCTCTCTTGCAGAGTGTCTGTGTGCATCTCGATCTTGAGACACAAAAGTCCAAAGCCATTATCATGAATCATTTTACCCTTAAACACAGAGGGCAAAAATTTACCTGAAGTAACAGACTGATTTAAGTTTTGTTCTGGAAGCTGCAGAATACCTGCTGGGACTTGTTCAACACTCTTGGATTCAGTTGCTTTATTTAATGCTAATGGTGTTTCATGTTTTGTAGGATTAAAGAAAAGTGCAAAGACTGAGTTTTTGTATTTGCCTAGCTGCTTTAGATTGAGTAGTAAGAATGAAGGTTTAAAAGTAATCTGAATAAGTAATACATAAGTGTGCATGTATAATTGTAAAATTGCCCAATCACAGAAGGGCTGAGGTTGGAAGGGATCTCTGGACGTTGCCTAGTCCAACCCACTGCTCAAGCAGGGCCAGAACTGTAGAATAGATTTAGATAGAACATGGACCGTACCTGGAAAAAAGAAACCAAAAGCCAAAATAAGTCATTGCTTTCCATATAAAGTAGCAATTCATATCAAATATAGATTGCAGTAAGTAAAAAAGACTTTTTGACAAACCAGTATTTCATAGCAAACCATTTGTGCTTCTGATTCTAGCCTCCATATTTTAGTTTTAATAGAGAAAGAATTATGGTATAAGCATGTATTTTCTTTCTTTTCTTATATTAAGATTTCATATAGCCATTTTTATTCACGACACTTTAGCAGTTAGAGACGTAATTCCATGAAGTTCTTTACTCTAATTATACTTTATACTTTTTTTTTTCCAGAGAACTACAGTTTAAAATGAAGAGCAGCTTCATATTTGATTTAATGTTTGCTTTGAAAATAATGGGGAAAAAAAATCAAGATTTTACTTAGACATTTTTCTGTCATCTTTGTTGACTCAACTATTGCCACATTTATCCACGAACAGCAGAATTTCTGATGAATCTTTCTTGTTTGTTTTCTCACAGAGAATTTGGATGGCGAGATCCAGAGCTTCCAGAAGTTATACAGATGTTACAGCATCAGTTTCCCTCAGTACAGTCCAATGCTGCAGCCTACTTACAACACCTCTGTTTTGGAGACAATAAAATAAAAGCAGAGGTAAGATTTATGAACCCTTTTTTCAGCAGTGATGCTGTCTGCCATTTGTCATAGCCAATTATTTTTATGTATCTTAGAGTTACAAAAGAAATCATGTATATGTGTCTGGACCTGTTTTACTTAAGCTTTCACTTAAGTCATTTGTTAACATTAGAGAAAGCAAAAAATGCATCAGATATTATTGTCAAACATTTTTTGTTTAGTTTGGAATATTTTGATTGTATACCATTTAAACACTGTATCAGTAGTTGTTCAGTAAACAGCTTGTGATATAGTCTTGATCTCACTGAAGCATATGGGCATTTCCTTAGGATTTTCAGAGAGGGATATTTGAACACTAAATACAAACACAGAAGGCAAAAATTAAGCAAAAGGATTCTGAATCAAAGCCCACTTTAATGTATAATTGTATGAATAGAGTGTCATTGCACTGGGATTGCAGACTGAACTGTGATCATTGGTCTGTGATCTTGAAATTCAGTGCAGATTGTATCTCAAATGTAGTTCAAGCAGCAGTATAGACTTTGTTCTGTACCTGTAGCTGATCGGTAGTTTTTGCTTGCTTGTTCCCTGTGGTTAATGGGACCAGTTTGGCTTTTGGCACAAGTTGAAACAGAAGGCAGGCAGCTCTGAGGGATCTGACAAACACACAAGAGTCAATTAAAATTGAATGAGTGAAGCTGTTACCAGCCCCAGCTGTCTCCCCTGCCCTTTTCAGAGATACTGCTAATCAGGGACATGTGGTGTGCACATAAATCTCTGCCTGTTCTGGCATCTTTTAGCCTGGCAAGTAAAGGTAAACTGATCAAGATCTGCTATTGCTTCTTTGTCAGAACTGTGCAGTGATGCTAGCTTGCTAGTGCTTCGTTATCCTCACCCTTGGCACATAAGCACGCTGTGGGTCTATCCGGCTATAGCAGCTTTCCCTTCTAGGCTTTTTCATGCTGAGGAAAGTCCCAAGTGAGTAGGTGTGTGATCTACTGAGACTGGTAGAACTCCACTGGTTGTGTACATCACCTCAAACATCTTAGAAATAATAATGAAAAAAAAATTTTTACATGGTTGTTAAAATGAAGAATGTTTGTGCACTGGAAAAGAGAACTCTGTTACAGGCACTGCTGAAAATTCTAATTGCACACTCTCCCCATACTCTTTTCTCATCCTTACTCACAAATTAGGTTTTCAGTTAAAAAATTGATTAACCTCTGAGAAAGGCAGTTAAATGATTAGAGCAATTTATTCATTGTACAATCTGTGCTGCCTCCTGTTAGCCATAGATTGAGAGCCCTTAGGTAGCTATCACATTTGAGGGAAGAAGATGGTTTGACTCTTGTTGCTAACCATTTAGTGAAAAAGGCAGATTGTTGATCTAACCCATCCCACTAGGACATCAGCCTTTGTAAGCTTCAGGCTCACAAGCAGGAGAGCACTTAAACAGTTTCTGTGTTTGTTTATTGGAATCAGGATGTTCACAGAGGGCTCGGTAGTGTGCTTAGGGTCAGCTTGTGCTCCCTACTGAATAAGAATTTCTTGAGGAAACTTTTTGCGTGAGGAGTTCAAAATCCTGTTAAGGGCACATCATAGCAGATCTCCCAGATTCTTACTAGGCTTATGCCCAGGCAGAGGAACTTGAGTGGTGCTGTTAAACCTACTTGGTTTATGAGAGTTTATGAACTCTCAGAGAAGATTTCAGTAGAATTTGTATAAAATTTCTCCTCATATACTTGATAGGACAAAGGCCTTTATATTCCTTTTGAGTAGAACAGTGTCATCTAAAATTTAGACAGAAATAGAAAATAGCAGCTATGACTATATGCATTTCTGGAATTCTTAACGCCTTTTATGGTTTTACCATTACATTTTTCTCTTCTAAAATATTTTAATTTCTGTGGCTGAATTTTGGATTACTGCCTCTTGCTTCCCAAGAAAAGGAAGTGGAAATACTCTGCAGAAGACAACTATGAAGAAGAAATTCAGTTAAAAGCATTTGAAGTATGGCTAGGGAAACAAGAGATCTTTTTCCTTCGTGACCATGTTTTTTATGGTAGGTACTATTTCTAAAACACATGCTGATGACAGGCATACTTCTGAATTTGATTATATCATTCTAAATGTGCCTTTATTGCTACATAAATGCAAATGCCCTGCTCAGTCTTTTAAGTAGCAATGAGGTTTGCAAAAGCTTTTCTCTAACTTGAAGGACTTTCAAACGGAATTTGCTGTCAGTAGTGCTTCTCATTCTCTACATTCTCATTCTCTACATGTTCCCTGTGTGTGGTGCTTAGGTGGTGTATCAGACCTGATAATGGAGTTTAAGAAACTGGATTATTTTTGCTAATGTTTGATAGTTGGACTTTTCATCTCCTGTTGTGCACTGACCAGTCTTAAAGATCTGAAGATCACACGTGTGAAAGGGGACATAGGGAGGCGGAAGGCTAAAGGTTATAAAAATTACCATGCAGCCCATTACAGGTAGGCATAATAATTCTAAATTCAGAATCTCAGAATACTTCAGCAATTCATTATATAAATTATTCTTTCATTGATGATAGCAGAGAATGTAACTAAAAGTCAAAAAGAAAGGAGAGAAGAAGTTTTGATCAGATATTTGAGGGCAGATGAAAAGTTGATCAGTCAGATGAGCACAAGAAGGCCCTTTTAGATGTCATTTTCTCCTTAGGAGAGGGCTCTTACACCAACAATGGTGAGACTGTGAGCAGAGCCAGAGTAGCCAGTCCTGGATGCCAAGAAGGAACAGACAGAGGATATAGGAAAAGAGAAGCATTTTTAAATACTTAGCAGAGAACATTTCCTTAAAAGAGCACATTCTCATAAACACAGGACTCATTCTTCCACAGCAGTTTTTCTTCCTGCAATGACATCTCACTCCTTTGTATGAGGTCAGCGTAAAAAATGATTGAGTTGTGCAGTTTCACACGCCGACACCATTTTGCTCTCATGAAAAATGGCAGCCTGCCATCAGCTGCAAAGGTGTAACAGGTCACTCAGGGGTTTTGGCACCAATGACTCCTTTCTGCCAACTAGGAAATTAATTTTTGCCATCAAAAACACAACACTTGAAGTTCTCCTCTCAGGAAAATTGTGCAAAAATGCCAAATAAAAGCACAGCAACTGCTGTACAGTCCTGCCTGAAGCCTTCTCTTGCATCCTTAATAAACACTGCTGGATCAGACAGTTTCCTCTTTATCTTGAAGAGCATTCAGAAGAAAAGTATCAGTCCAGACGTTATTGCATGGAGTTCTTAAAACAGTAATTGCACACTGAAAGCATTTATCTTCTGAGCTTATTCAAAACCATCATACACATTTTGTCATTAAATTTAAGGTGTTTCTGCATTTTCTGTGACTTCTCCAAAGCATGCCCAGAAGCCTTTCAACACAGTACTGTCACCCTTTCACATGTAAGGCAGAGGGCATAGACCATATTAACCATTATCTTCATTTATAATTCATGTAATTTCAGTGTTGTAGTAACTTTGATGTCATCCGTTGTGCAGCTGGATCCATGATGGTCAAGGATACAATATGCCTGTTTCTAGCATGGCTTTCTCACAGGGAATACTTACACTTAGTATGGTGTGATAGAGAAACAGTCCATCATGTTGCGTTTAGACCCAATGGCTAATAATTATTATTTTAATAACAATTATTATTATTATTATAAATAATAATGGTTAACTGATAAAATTCTTCAGTCTATAACATTGGAGGGATCCAGAAGTGGGATTGGAGGTGCTCTTATCATCCTTGAAGGATGTCTTCATTTTGGTTTTGAAGTGTTCACAAGATTCCCCTCTGCTTCCGTAAGGGATTTCAGAGCAGATCGAGTATCTTTCTTTTTCAGTGTGTTTGAAGAAGAATCATAGTTTTGCCTTCACCTACCCATACCCTTTCTCTTGTTTCTTTGTTTTTCCTCTAAAATGTCTTCAGTTAAAGCCCATAATTTGGCTTGTCCAGTGATGATACTGTAAGTTTCCATTAAAGACATTATGTAAACTCCTTCAATATCTGCATGCAAGATAATATAGACATGGTATTTAATTTAAATTAAGTAAGTATCTCATAAGTGATACTGAAAAGTAATACAAAAAATGAAGAGACTCTAAAATGTTCGTTAGGAGTGCATTTTAGTGCAGACAATAACTGCATACTTTTGGAGAAAGTACACTTCCCTGTTCAGTTACAAACATTTTTATTACTGCTTTGAAAACCATATTTTTTTTATGTTAAACATATGTATTGGTAAAATCTCACAGTTTGAGAAATATTTTCCTAAATGACTTCACAAGGAATTTTCTCTTTTCATGATAATTTTTTATGTGATGGGATGCTTGCCTACACCCAGTTCCCAGAATGAGTGCTGAGATGTTCATGCTTTGGCTTACCTATGTTTAGATTGCTGCATGCAGGACAGTTTGGGTTTATCTCTCCTTCACCTTGGGCAGTTGTATTCCTCTGTGCAAGTAAATGTCTAACTGTCCCTTTTTAACACACTTTCTGTGTAGGTTTTACTGATAGAAATTACTCTAATGAAGTAAAGCAGCACATAGTGACATAACCAGAAACAGTCTTTGTACAAGAATCTTTTTTTTTTTTATTTTATAAAATCTCATATCTTTCAGGACCTCTAGTCTGCTTCTAATAAGTCAATCAACAGATGCTGTGTTGTTTTGCAATATAGGTTGGGGGTTTTTACTGTTAGCTACACGTATACAAAATGCTATTTAGTTGGGTTTTTTTTTTTTTTAATGTTTATTCAAAGTATTTTTGGAAATGACCCTTTAATTTGTCTTTGTAAATTATCTTTGTTGATTTTATTGGAATAGTTTTTCCAAGAAGATGTTACACTCCTTGCACCTTGTCATTTAAGGATGTGATTTTACACTGAAAGAAAATTAGGCACAACCATCAGCAGCACCACAGACCCTTACTCCTCAGAGGAAGACAAAATATACAACTAGCTTTATGATTACTTCTTAT